TTTAATGCGGCTTAAATGCCATGAAACTGACTGCCATACACTGACGGACATTAGTGCAAGTCTATAGTTTAACAGCTTATGTATATATCTATTCATCGGGTTAATAAAGCTAATGGTCTAACACAAATTTAATTATGAATTTAAATTGGTGAAAAGAAGGCCTGTAATAAATTAAAATAAACAAAGAAAACAATTTTTTAATTAATTTCTTCATTAGATTAGGCTCAAGTTTTATCAATATTATCTGACACTGTCACGTAAATTCTTTATTATTTGCTCTTTAAAAAATATGCGAAAAACCAACAAATTATCTCATGGTAATTGAATAGAAGCTTAACTCATTCAATTTAATACATTTAATTACATTTAAGACAAAGCATAATTTTCGCATTTAAATTGGTTATTAAATCAAGTGCTTATCAAATTTAAATACAATGATCCAAATTTGTAATTTGGAATTAATACGTTGAGTAAAAATATAAATTTATACATTTTAGGTATATGAATTTAATTAAGCTTATTCACTGTTTTAATTCATAAATAAAAATGTCAAAATAATGTAATAATATTTAACGTAAGTGTTATATATTTAAATTCAAAAATATTTAGTTTTTCATTAAAATCCTGTAGAATCACAAAGATAAAGACTTTTCCAGCTAAAGGAGAACAAAATATATCGCATGCGATAAAACCCGTTTCTCGCTCTGAGGGAAATTCTCTCCCAGTGCTTTTCCATCGTCCGTTGAAGGTAGAGAAAAGTCCCAGGCGCAGGATATTTCCCTCTCCCCAATCTAATGCAGATTCTTGAGCCGCGGAGAGGGAAGGGGGTTAGGCGTCGCGACAAAGGATCGGCGGCGGCAAAATATTCCTTGGTTAAGGATGTTTCAGCTCTTCAAGCACATTTCTGGCGCCCATTAAATATGTTTAAATATCTTTTCTTACACAAAAACAAGGAAATAACATTTACATTAATGCGTTTATTGACTCAAAGTTGTTGTTGAAAAATGCAAAAAAAAAGCATATCTATTTTAGAAACTTTATATTGTCAATTAAAAGTACCTCAGGGAATGTTACATGTAAATACTTTTGAATTTTCTCTTATTTTCTTTAAAATTAAATTAATTAATTAAATGTTTAAATATCTTTCCATACACAAAAACAGGAAATAGCATTTACATTTATGCTTTTATTGGATTAGAGTTGTTGGTGAAAAATTCACAACAAAGGACATACATATATATTTTAGAAACTTTATATTGTCAATTTAAATCACTTCAGGAAAAGTTGCATGTATATACTTTTTAATGTCCTCTCATGTTATTTAAATTAAATTATTTAATTTAATGTTTTAATTTCTCTTTTTACACAAAAGCAACGAATAAACATTTACAATAGTGCATTTTATGGTTAAAAGTTGTTGTTGAAAAATTCACAAAAACTACATTTATATTTTAAAAACTTTATCCTGTCAATCAAAACTATCTCAGAAAATGTTGCATGTTTGTCCTTTTTTTTAAATTATATTATTTAATTTAATGTTTTAACTTCTTTCTAACACAAAAACAAAGAATAAACATTTACAATAGTGGCTTTATTGGTTAAGAATTGTTGTTAAAAAATCTACAAATAAATTTACACTCTTTGTCATGGAAAGGAGCACATGTGCAATTTTTCTCTTTATTCATTTAATTTTTTCTTAATATGCACATATGCTTATCCCTGTGAAGTTAAAATTTGTTTATTTTGCATTAGTTATCCTTAAAGTTTAAGGAAATAAATATATGATTATTATTTAATCTGATGTCAAAAACAATAAATTAAATAATGAAACAAAAAATTAAATTTCTAAATTCTTTATAATTTTTTTTTAAGAAATGTTAGTGCATATATATAAATATCCATGAATTACAAAAAGGATATACAATATTATTGCACCTTATAGCAAAACAAAATATGTTAATATTATGAGTGTTATTCAAATTAAATATTTTATATATTCCATGGTTATATTATATTTTAAATATTTACCTTATACGATTCGACATTTAAAAGTACATTCTTGAATATGGATAAGAAATAAAATAGGGAAAAATCATATCATATCATAAATCATTAGTAGCACCCCGTAACTTGGGAATAATTAAATAACATTTTTTTCAAACCACAATCTTGTGTTAGTTACTAACGAAAATTAAATATTAATTATATGAAAATTAAAAGTTAATTATTAGACAAATTTTAAGGGATTAAAAAGGTTAAGTTGGGATATATAGCTATAGTAGGGAATTTTGTCATCTGAACAATAAATTAATTTAAAAGGATAAAGATACCTTAGGAGTGGAATATATTATGAGTATTATTATTGTATTAAATTGGAATATAATTTGATACACTTTAAAGCTAACTTGAATTGAAATTAATTATTTTAAACACCCCAAATGACATTTTTTTAGTATTTAAACTGTTTTAAATTATTTTCTTTTGTAATTGTTTTTGTTTTTATAATATTTCATGATGTACAAACAAAACCTCTTCTAAATGTCAATTCCAGTGCATTTTTTCTGTGTATTTTTGTGTGATTTGTTTCCCTCTTCGGGGACGCTGGGAGGAATGTCTTTCTTGGCCAAGAAACGAGTGAGAGCTAACGGGTTGTGCTCGTTTTCGCTTGGCTAATTAAACATTTGACAATTATTAATACATTCCAAATGGCGGCAGTGAGAACGAAAAAAGAACTGGGCAAATATTTAACAGCTGCTCACGCATCCGAATGTGAGTATGAGTGCGAGTATGAGTGTGAGTGTGAGTGTGAGTATGAGTATGAGTATGAGTGTGAGTATGAGTGGGTGGTGGGTGGTGCACCACCCGCTGTGCCAAGTGGGGCAAACGGCGACGCCTTTCGAGTGTTTGCTGCTGCGTCATTAGAGGCGCTGCCAATTACTTGTGCGCGGGAGAGAGCACTGAAAGAAAATCTGGGTTGATTCCCCACCATATTCCCCAGGCGGCTAATAACGTGGAAGGATGTCGTCTGACTTTGGCCAATTGAATTAACACGGCCATTAGGTCTCCATAAAAATATTCCGAAAATCATCATCAACATGGCCAGTTGTGCGTGTAAAACAGCACCATTGTTCGCACCATTAAATTTTTATTGTTCATATACTATTTAGTTTTTAATTTAAATTCTATGAAGAACATAATAAAATCAAAGTTTAAACAGTGTATATTTCTGTAGCATTAATGGACATTTATAGATATTATTATTAGATCTTTTTAATAACTGCTTAAATAGCATTTTTAAGTATTATCCTTGCAGAGTGGATTATGTATATATTAAGGACTAGCAATTATTGTGTTTGTGCATATGCTAAAAATATTGACAAATATTAAAATTTATTTACATTAAAAAATAATATGGAAATATTATTTATAAATAAAAATTTTGATTTAAATAATGGGTCACGTGACAGCATAATAATTTGTTTAGCTGTAAAAGAGTTAGGGATGAGCATAAGAAGCAGTCACTGGTGAAAGTAGGAAAAACTCAAACAGTTAACAAAAAAAATAAGGTGAAAAGCAAGGTAACTATTGTTTTTTATATGTTTACTTATTTGTTTCTATTATTTATTTTTACTTACTGGTTTTTGTCGCTGCTTTAATTGCTCTTTCTTTATGAACTCTTTGTTAGCTAAAACTTTGGGCCAACGGGGCGAATACGTAACCATCCTTTTTCATCATTTATGTCACAAAATAAACAATACGAACACAATCAAGAGCGCCTTCATCTTTTGAGTAACAAAAATAAAATTGTTTTTTGTATTTATTGATTTATTTTGCATAACTTTTTATATAAATGCAAACTGCTCTCATCTTTATCATTCCCATATTCATTTTTGTTCCGTTGGATTATTATTTTTCAGAGAATATAATAACATATCCAATATTAGGAGAGAGCCAAAGCCCAAAGCTGCTATGGCTCCTAATCTTAAGTTATCTTTTAGTTGAGAAATAATTGTTAGCCTTAGATTAATAAATAATTAAATCCAATATTAGGTCAAGAGCTTATGCTGACCTAAAGAAGTCAAACTAGGCATTGAATAATGTACATTTAACCCACATCCTCTAAATACGGATCGATGGCCTATAAATATCCTTAAGCGTTATTCAATAAATTAACTAATTACTTTGACTGTACACCAAGGAACAAGGAACAATTCCTAACACAGGACACAAAGTCCAAAAGGCATTTAAATAGTATATGAAGTGTACTTTAGATTTACAAGCCTCCATAACAATTCATAGATTTCTAAGCATTTTCGCAATGATCTCTTACATTATTTAGCATTTGATATTAATTCATGATATAGGAAAAAATAGATTTAAAACAAAAAATACAAAGTTGGTATTCTTAATATTAAATGTTTAAAATTCCCACATCACATAATTATTAAGTTTGAAGTGTCATCATCACATTTAGCTCAAAGCGTTAAGAGTTGTTTTTGTTTGAAAACATTAAAAAATCGGAAAATTAATTGAACACAATTATAATTTAGTTTCTTGACAGACTATATTAATTTTATATAATAAGATATATTAATTTCATAAAGAAGAAATATCCGATCTTATAAGGAAATTTTGCACATCATCATAAACCAAGTTCCTTAGCATCTAATTTTTCTTTGTCTACCCCTCAACTGCCACCTGAAAAACTTTTCTCGGAAAAAGAATATCAATTACAATTATTACAAAGAATATATTTTCGAAACAAGTTAAGGTGCAATTCATTTGCTTTTTTTATTGGATTCATAATGCGCTTGGTACTATCTTTCAGTTTTGTATTTACACTTATCTGGAAAAAGTCGCCTTCTTATTAAATTATATTTTTTTATCTATCTAAACGCACGATTCGTATTGGAACACGAACTTTTGTTATCCATTTCCTCAACAGTTTTTCCGTATAAATACAACGCTTTAAGGCCTTTTGAAACCCACTTGGAATTCTATTAAGCCAAAATGAAGTTATCCGTTTTTGGTCTTGTCTCTTTGGCAGCTTTCCTTTGCACTTTGCAATCGACCACAGCGGATGTAAGCTTTGTATAGTTTTATAAATGTATTAATATACTCATTTTAATTATATTTTATAGAGCCCAGTCGAAATTTATTGCAAAAATGTTGGAAAAATTTCAATTTTGTGTAGACATTTTTTCCCCCCAGGAGAGAAAGATAATGCAACCACAGGAAGTGAAACTGCAGCTGGAAATGCCACTGAGGAAGCTGCAGCTGCAACGCGATCTCTACCGATAGTTGGTAATACTTTACCAATTGGCAATTTAATTCCTATACGTTGACAAACAATATTGCAAGCTTCAAATAACGTATAATATTCCAAATAATATTAATTATGTGTTAAATCCTATTACACTTGTGCTCTGGCATGTCGGCATCTTAAATAAACATATAAATATCCCTCAAGCATTCTAAGTAATTTGCTTTATTATTTATGGAAAAGGAAAAGGGGAACCGTTTTAAGAATTTTCGGAATTTGGATCTCGTTGGATTGGACATCGTATGAACATCAAATATAGAAATAATAGAATACAACATTCACTTATACCGCTGTTACAGTCAGATAATTATAGATAGAGCTTACGTAAAACCTTTTATAGGATCCCTATAATGTTTGACTTTAAATCTCATATTTGAAAAGGTAATGGTTAATATACCCCTGCAACATATTTAGAATTGAAGAGACTTCATAACTTGTAAAATGTTATATTTTATTAATAGTATCGCTAGCCGAAATTGAATAATGTCCGACTTTTCGTTCGCACAATTTAAAGGATCTCAGAGACTATCACAATTGTTTCACAAGGTACATGTACATATATATTTCACTTAATCAAAAATTGTTTAACTTAAATCCTAAAAATAAGTAACTAAAGTATATACGAATGAATTTAAATTTGATTGATATACAATAATGAGACAAAGAGAGGCTATTTTTTTTCTTTTTGGCAGAGCCTATTTAATTTTTTGTTCAATATTGTTTTTTTAACTTCGTGGCCTTTTTAGTTTAAGTTCTTTTATATATTATATCATAATTACACAAAGTGAGTATTCAATGTCGTTGGTCCTTCAAATTACACCCAAAATGCTTTAAGTACGGGGTATTTTACGCATTTCTACTTTTTATTAGAGCCAAAGTCGTGGACATGTTTATAAACATACTTTTGCTACCAAGTGTGTTTCATTATTTATTAATTTTTTTCCCAGGAGAGTCCATTTGATTATTTTAATGTTAATGTTAACGCAGTTTAGTACCTTGAAAAATAGGGGAAGGGTTTGTGAATACAAGTTTATGAATACAAAATTAATTCTGTAATTCTTAGAATTTAAGGTATATAAAACTTATCCATCTACGGCTTTACGAAGTTTTATTTTTTAACATTTACTGACAGATTTTGTTCTCACATAAATCAATGATTTCAAAGTAAATTATAGATATTTGTAAATTCCTAGTAAATAACTTTTTGAACTATGTGGAAATAATGATTATTTGAAGAAAATAATTTAACAAAAATTTCCGTATTCGTTTAATAAAAATGGTCTATTTAATTCATTTAGTAAAAGTCATTTACTGGAACAATTGTGTTCAAAATATTAAGTAAAAATTGAAACTGATTTGATTTCTGCTGCAAGTTCAGTTAAAAAATGTTCAAAAATGTCAAATTTTCGGAAAAACATTAAGAAAGAAAAAAGCGCTTAATAACCTTGACTATAATCTGAATTGTAAAAAGGTTCAAGAATTACAACAATATTAAAAATTAGTAGAGATAAAAGAATATTTTTAATGCAAATAAATGCAGTGCTGTAACCCGTAAATAACCTTATGTCTTGATAATATTTTTTAGCTTTTTTAGCTACACTTATACTTATTTAAAATTAGCCCATTCTACCAGAGGTTGTGTCTATTAAAATATATATTTTTTATCTCTGAAGACACACGATTCGTATTGGGACACGAACTCTTATTATCTCTTCCTATCGCCAAAGTTTTCCGTATAAATATAGCTCATTCAGGCATTTAAAACTCACTTCGAATTATACTAAGTCACGATGAAGTTATCCGTATTTAAACTTTTCTTTTTGGCGACTCTCTTTTGCTTTATGGAATTGTCCACGGCTGTAAGCATTTAAGTGATTTGAATAAACTATATTCTATTAATAATCTGTTTAATTTCATAGTTTTTAGGCGGGGATACGTTTGCAAACTTGCCCCACCTCCATTTTCAACAATTTGTAAATTACTATCTGATCCAGGAGCCAATATTCCAATCGTGAATGGAATTGGAAGTGGAAATGCAGGTGGACTTGGAAGTGGAACTCCTTTGGCAGGTGCAAAGCGATCTCTTCCTATAACTGGCATTTTACCTTCTGGCATCCTTCCTCTGCGTTAACACACACGCAAGACCTTAAGTAATATATTATTCGAGATATTTAATAATGTAATAATATTATGTCATGCCAACATATAAAATAAATATTTCCCAAGCTTTATAATTGATTATATTAATTTTTGGGGTTAGATGGATGCATTTACATCCCATTTCTGGATGCTTTAGCAGATCTAAGATGTTTGATTAAACTTTATTTAGCGATTCTAACCATTTATTGGCTATAAACACCGAGAGATCTGATGTTAATGCCAATCTTAAATATATATACATTGTATAAAATTATAACTTCTCCCTTTTTAACATATTTAAATCTTTTCTGAGATAATAATTATAGAATTTCGGTTCTAAATTTATGCAAAACTGACGACCTTATCATATAGCTGCTATTGGAATGCTCATTAAATGTATAGAAAATGCAAATCAGTAAATATAAAAGTGTTTTTTTTCAACATATTTATTTTTAATTTATTGGGTTTTATATAACATATTTAGACCCAGAGCTATAGTTGGTTAACTTGATTATATTGTGATTTATTTTAATCAAAAGCGAATTAATTATTATTATATATAATTGGTATTTATAATTTGTATATATAAATGATATATATATACATTTATGTTACTTTTTTAAACTTCGAAGTCTTAAAAATTTTGGAATCCCAAAGTTAGCTTCCCTTCTTATTGTTCTTTAAAAATTAGGTAAGGATGTACTGAATTTTCTTGTAATGATATATGAATGTACATATGTACTTACATATATTTGTACATTTATTTTAATGTATTAAAGGTTCATAAAGTAAGAAGTTACACTTGCTCTTCATTTTAAAACCTTAAAATATTATTTTCAGTTAAAGCATGGTATGTGTATAGATATACTTGGGATAATTACTAATTACATGCAAAATGATATATAGTCACGACTTATGTTCTGTATATATCTAACCACCTGACAGGGTAATTCGTGGGTCCATAATGTTTTTAGGGGCCTTTGAATAATATCATTGCCCTGCTGGGCCACTCTCAATTATTGTTTTATCTGCTCGCTTCCATTTCCGTTTCCATTACCGAGGCACTTTTATGGTCGCGCTCTTTTGCTTGACTTGACTTGGCCCCGCTTCCAGCAAGGTCACTCCCACACACACTCACACACACAACACACACACACAACACACACACACCACTCACAAGCTTAGGCATACTTGGCGTCTAATCAAGCCCAAAACCAAAACAACAAGGACCATGGAATGGACACGGGGCATTGGGAGTCGGAGGTTGGCCGGCGGACAGGTCGGTCCTCTTTGTCAAATGTGTGTCATGACCTTACGCACAAGCCAACACACACACACACACACGCACACACACACACACACACACACACTGGCACACTGGATGACATCTGGAAATGTGGAGGACAATGTGGCCACCAAAGGAAGCTTAAACATTAAATTTACTTTCAGCAAAAACAAAAAAAAAAATGTATAAAATTCTACGTGCACAGAATGCAAGTAGAAATGCAATGTTGTTTCTTTAAATATCGATACAAACCTATGTTAACCTCAAGTTATATAAGGCAATTAAACTTCTTTAATAAGATTATAATATTTTTATGCAACATTTATATATTATTTTAGTGTTTAGAGTCCACATTAGGCTAGCCAATAAAATAGGTGCATGAAATAAACATTTACCTATACTTAACTAGCAAAACTTCATACGTGAAGGTAGGGTATAAGGAAATTTTAACTAAATAATATCTAACTGAAAGTAAAAAAACAGACAGAATGCTCTTCGATGACTCCTAAATGACAGAAAATCCTATAAATCAATTTTCAAAGTAGTGAAAGGTTCTCAAAAGATGTAACAAAAGCGTTCAACTCATAAAACATTTTTATTAAAATCTTAATCTTCGCAAAAATCTTGAATATACAATAAAAACTAAAAAAGTATATATATATAATTGGATTACGATACATTTGTGACCAGATGGTCAAGATTTTATGATCAAAAATCTTAATTTCATCTGTCAGTGTAAAGAAGCACCTGAAAAATCTTTATTTAATATGGATTTGTTGGTTAAACATGACCATTATGGCAATTGGCAATTTCCAATGAAGTTTGGAATATTTTTTTTATCACGGAGTCTTTATGAACAATTGGTAATGGCAAATATCAGTTACGATTGATGGGAAAGTTTCCTTGCTTAGATCTACAAATTTACAGATGAGTAAAACCTTTTTACTAGGTCGTAAAATATGGTGATAGTAATACCCTCTAAGTTGACGAATTTCATAAAAATATATGTAATAATGCTGCTTAAAAGAAGGTTTGTTGTCCAAAAGGCAGAGATTGGAATCCTAGGTACAAAGAAACTACTGTGAACATGGTGTTGGTACAAATATTGTATGGGTTTTAATTTTTTAAAATGGTTTTGGTTTTGAATATTGTATTAGCGAAATAAGAGACAGATTCATTTGTAAAACATTATAGAAAACTGTAGTTCTACAATATGCCAAGGAGAATATAAAAGTTTTATGGAAGTTCTAGAAGTAAAATAAACTGAAACACTGGCCACCAATCAATTTCATTAGCTTAGTAAACTTCTCTATATAATATAATACATAAATAAATGTACAGATCAAATCATTCGATTCGCTGAAAATGAAAATAGGAATTATAATATAGTTAGTAATTCGAACTTCTTAATATAAAATAGCTATGTAGATAAAAATATGTCGAAAATCGACAAAGTTGTAGTTTTTTTTCTTATATGATATAGTCATCCGATCTGAATAGTCAAAAAACTATTTGCAAAATTGCGTGAAAACGGACAGATAGACAAATAGACGTAAATATATGGCTAGATCCTTTACTACGTTGCAAACTTTTGACTAAAATTATAATACCCTGCAAGAGTGTAAATATATTCAAGGCCAGTATCTCCCTCACCATCCCGTTCAAATGAAAATTTAGCATATTTATTTACTGAAACTGAATTCTGAGGAAATTAATTGATATAATTTATACGACATTAAACAGAAAATATTGTATGTCAGAATATTTAATTTAAGCGAGACATGTTTATGGACGAGCCGGAATGTGAATTGTGAAATATAATTTGAATTAATAACCTAATCAGAGCTCTGTGAGTGAGGACTCTAAAGTCAGGTGGAATTTTCAATTAGGCCCAATCAAGATATGGCTAGAGTTGAGATAAATTCGACATCGAGTGATTTGTTATTGAGGCTGGGAATAATACACAAGGCCAGAGCAGGCTGTGGCACACGCACACATAATAAATGAAATCAAGTATTCAAATATGCTGCCATTTCCTCGACTCCGGTGGGTCCATAGTCCATCCCATTCTGGCTTTTCCAACGCAACCTGGCAAGTGTTCAACCGCAACTAAGATGGCACTCAGTTCTCGGCATCGGATCCTTATCCTTTCTCCCTCCGGCTGAGGCTGACGACTCGTCGACTCTCCCGTCTGAGATGCTCCGCAGCCCACATAAGTATGCTATGGATTCTGTCAGAATGTTAATCCAATCCCATTGCGGTTGCTTTGTAGTCTCTCTATGCTCTGTGAGTGAGTGTGTGTGCGTGTGTGTGTGGGCCTGGATGTGTTGATTTTTGGCTAAACAAAAAACCAAAGCCAGCCCCCGCAGCCACGCCTTACTATGCCACAGGCCTTAACCCTTAAACTGTGGCCATGGCTCTGTTTTAATGTCACAAATAAATCGAATTCAAATGACCAACTAAAGAGATCAAATTTAAATATATTTGTACCAAAGAAAACTTAAATTATTGATTATTAAACATGGTTTTTTTTTTTAAATTTAAGTCTTTTTATTTTGTAATATTTTGTAGTAGAAGTATAATCATAAAACTTTTCCCACCAAAGGGTTAAGCTCATCTTTGGCAGCTTCGTCTTCGACTTTTGCTAATGAAATAGTCTCACTCTTCTTTCCCTGTGTGTGTGTGTGTGTGCGTGTGTTTGTTTTTTAGGCCTCACAGACAAAGATGGCAGCTGAAAAAAGGGTACGACTTCCTTTCTTTCCAGCCATTTCCGGTGCTTTCTGACGCTTTTCTTCGTCTTAGCCGCTTGGCTTCTGCTTGTTTTTTGGCCGCATTAAAATTCAAAATACGTTCACCAAAAAGGCAAAAGCCAATTTCAACCTTCGCTGCCTGACAAAATTCATTTGGCAATCGACAGCGTAGCACTGGTCCGGCTTTCTTTTTCTTTTGTGTGTGTGGGTGGAAAACTGGGGGAATAGGATAGGGTTTTCCGGGAGTTTCCCGGATTTCTCGAACTGAATTGCGGTGTCTGCGACTCATGCATAGTCAACAAGCGAGTGGAGCCTGTCCTTCGGCTGCAACACGGGAAAAACAACATAAATCAAAAGCATAAATTATATATGATTTATAGGGAATATTTAATTATTATAAATACATACAATACTAATACCAATAACACTAACTAACAATATCTAGCAGTTTATAGAATTGGAATTTAACTTTTTCAGTAACAGAATTTCATATTTCTTAAACTATTCAGAAGTGTAACAAAAACTTTAAAGCAACTTAAAGATGTATGTATGCATCTGTATCTTTTAGATACTTTAGAAAATCTACAATACAATATTTTAACATTTTTCTGTGCATCTCAATCTGTGTTTTGTCTTTGTTTTTCTTGTTTTTCTCTCGAATTTACCCCTCTATTCGATTCGTTTGCAGTCCGCCAAATTGTGCGCTTCGTTTAGTTTTCCCTCTCTAAATGTGTGTGTCTGCGTGGGTGTGTGTGTGTGTGTGGTGTGCGGGCGTGTGTGTTGGTTAGTCAGCTGACAGC